GCATCCCTGCCTCTGCTGAATTATTTTTATCTCCGGTGGGGATAAAAAACATCCCGCCGCGAACAGTGCTGAAGTCTCGATCTGAAACAAATGATTCGCGATACGCGCTTTGAAGTCCCGATACGCGATCCGATTGGAGTGAATCATTTTGCAACGCAATGACTTATGAGTTTCAAAAAGCTCCGTTGATACTGTAAATGTTCTTTGCTCACTTTCCTATATAATTTATTTGTTGTTTGGACAACCGTTGAAATTAAATAATTAATCAGCCTAATGTTTTTATTAAATTGTGATCACGTTAAACAGCCTACAGTTTCAGTCGTATTAAAAACATTTTGTGACATGACACACATTATCTGGTGCTTAAAAAGACGGGTTTATGATGTGCTTTGTTAACAGATTACACTAACATTAGGTTACTTTTAAGCCTTTCTCTGAAAAAAAAAAAGTTTTCAAAATCATCCCCCTCTCTGCTTTTTTCACAAATCACACCCTGTATATATATATACATATATATATATATATACACACACACACCCACGCACACACACACACACACACACGCACACTCACGCATACACACGCACACACACGCGCACACACGCACACGCACGCACACGCACTCACACACACACACACACACACACACACACACACACATACTAAATTAACTGAAAAAAAAAAGTTCTTAGGTAGGTACAAAGGTAGGAAAATGTAATATATAAAAATATAATAAAAATTTTTAAAGTTATCGGAAGGCATATTCATTAACGTCCATGTGAACTGGACGCTGAAGTCAAAAACACATTATACTAAAACCCACCTGAATGTCTGCCTGTATTCTGGGAAAAACGATTTGAAGAAGTTTCATTTTTCAGGATTAAGTAGTCAAGAGAGAACCAAAGGATCACCCGAGTTATCAATCCCAGACACTGAGTGTGTGAATGCAGCCTGTTTCTCTCTCTTTATTTCTCTGTTTTCTTTCAGTAAATCAGCGGCAGCACCTGAGCGCGTGATATTCTCCCTCTGTCAGGTGAATCTGTGTCTCTGAAAGACAAACGGGAAAGAACTGCTTCAGTCGCACACAGCGTCTGTCCTGCCTGTCTTCCTGTCAGACTGTCTTCACTTCCTCTGTTAACAGGACCAGCCGTGTAAAAGAGAGATCTGAGCGAACAAACACCAGTCTGGCCTGACACTGAGGTCCTGTTCACATCTGGTATTGATCCAAAAGCAAATTACTTGTGTCAATGCATGCAACACATCCACCTAATTGAAAAACACGGAAAAGCCCTAAACAAATACATGCACAAGACTTCACAATATATGCATGATTGCATGCATGCTTGAAAAAAAAAAGCTTGCTTCCTAATCTAGTTGTCTAATAAACCTGACATTGTATATTATGAATATTGTTGGCTCTGTGACAAATTGCTTTTGTTCCACTTTGTATAAAAGCATCTGCATAAATGCATACGTTATTGTAAATGACTGACAGGTGAGTAGGCGGGTCCAGGACGCAAGTCTACAAATCTGATCACACATACATTATGAGTGAGTCACAAAAGGCTTTGGATCCAATTTACACCCTAAATTTAGAACTGAACACTTGTGATTGGAACGCATGAAACAGATATTAATTCCAGATGTAAACAAGTTCAACTTCAAAGAGTCAAAACCTTGTGTTTCCTTTCACTTTCATGAACGTGAAACAAGTATTTATTTTTTGTTGCATGCACTGAAACATTTTGAACTTATTTAAAATTATTCTTACTTTTTTATTTTAATATTACAGTTGAATTCTTATTATTTTGTGTGAATCTGTTTAATGCATTTTGTGCTTTTTTTCTTTTGTTTCATGCATTTTTGTTATAACGCAAATTTGATGTGTTTGAATTTTAAAAAAGTGTTTACAAATGATCGGCTGCTGAAATTCCAAATAAAAACATTTAAACACGTGCACTGAATTTTTTTTTTTAAAAGAGCAATAAACAAAATATATTTTGTTCGTTTAAGTAATTCCATAAAAGTGATGCAGGTCAACAGATCTGGCTATCTTCCTGCATAAATGACCGATAACTCCAGCATGAACATTCACGACACACTTGACATGAGCTCACGATCATTAGCTGCTGTTCACAACCGCCCTCATCCTACCAATCTCTGTCAGAAAGACCCCACAGAACGAGCATGAAACTTTCATATGTCCTGTCACTTCAGCAGACTGAGCTGGAGGGAGATGAATGTTCACACATTAGTTATAGAGCGAGTTTCTTTTCACGCTCTGCATTATTAAGGGATCAATCTATTAAAAGACACCATCAACTTGAGGTTCTTTAACTGGACTCTCTCAGCTGTCAGCTCGGCCTCTGAGGCTCAACGCTGGGAGAGTGTTTGTTTAACTGTCGCTGCTCCGGTGTGTGTTTGCATCCATGAGTGGGTTTCCCACTTGTCAGTGTGATTAGTGAAAGCAGGTGCTAATGTGTGCAGATGGTCAGTCTTTTGTGGACTCAAATGAAAGCACGCGTTAAATGCTGGCAGTTACTGCAAAAAGTATTTGGACACTTAAGATACACTTAATGCATGAATGTCATTGCACTAGGTGCACAAAAGTTTAGGATTTTTTAATGTTTTTAAAAGAGTCTTTTCTGCTCATGAAGGCTGCATTTATTTGGTCAAAACAGTAAAATATTATTACAGTTTAAACAGCTGTTTTCTATATGAATATCTGTTAAAATGTAATTTATTTCTGTGATCAAAGCTGAATTTTCAGCATCATTACTCCAGTCTTCAGTGTCACATGATCCTTCAGAAATCATTCTAATATGCTGATTTGCTGCTCAAGATCTTTCTAACATTATAAAAGTCTTTGTCACTGTCATTTTTAAGGAATTTAATGCATAATTTCTAAACAAAAGTAATAATTTCTTTTAAAAAGTCTTACTGACATCACATTTTTGATCTGTTGTTTTCATGCTAAACTTTTCACAAGTTTGAAATAATAAAATAACAAATCTAGTGTTGAAAATGAAGACAAAAACTATTTACACTCTGATACCTGCGTAAGCTTCATCCACTAAAAAAACACCAGCTTATTTAAAGACACTGAGACTTCAAAATGATGAAGAAAAGATAAGTTAGTGAAGAGAAAAAAAATCCTGCAGCATTTGAGCAGATACAGAAACTCAGTTTGATACTGTTTTCAATGCAATGACATTTAGACATCTTTATGCATGACTGAAGTGAACAAATTAATAGAATAGAACAATGGTATTTACTTTATAACCACTGCTTTACCCATTAAAATACAAACAGATGCAAAAAATGATAGCACTCACAGAATAGCAACAATACAAATTGTTGGTGCAAACTGTACAGACTCAAAACAAACTTTTGCATTGTGTTTCAATCATAATACTTAAAAAGGTTTTTATCATCTGATCAAGTCCAATGAAATTCAATATTCTAAATGTTCAAACAAGTCTCTTTCTCTCTCTTTCTCTCTCTCTCTGTTCAGAAATCAGACTTAATCTCACTCTATGATGAAAGCAACGAGTGCACCGCTTACGTTTCTGTCTCTCTCCTAATAAAGTCACAATCGAGGATCAGACAGAACGAGTCACAGGGAATTCTGATCACATTCACATGTCATCAGAACAGATAATTAGCCTCTAATCAGCTCTAATTGAGTAAACCACTCAGACAAACACTCCACATATACAGTCTGAGAGCACTTTATTAAATACTAAGAAAATGAACCAAAATGCAGATGCATTTGTGAATGTCTCAGTATTTGATGTGACTTTGCTTTGCTTTGCTTTACTGAGCTACACGAACAAGACCAAAGAGCATCTTAAACTTCATTTTATGCCAAAAAGAGTTTCAAAATAATTTAATTGAACCAAAAAAAGGTTTAAATGAATGTGCTCTTGTACGTCAAGCAAAATGATTCTAACACTTCAAAATGGTTTGTATAATGTAAAAATGCTAAAAGCAAACATTTGCACACAAAGTGCACATAAATAACGAAAAGCTGATTCATTTTGCCATTAAACTTCTGGATGCATGCTTTTATGTAACAGGACAAGAGGCCAGGGGTCTTACCGTGAGTCTGGGTATTTGGTGAGGGTCGCCAGGCTGCTGGTGTACATGTGGCCACCCACGTCGATGTGAACGGGCGCGTTGGCTTTGGTGAGCTGAGCCGGCAGTGGAATCCCCTGCGTGGCCAGAGGAGAGACCGGAGACCGGGTCAGAGACAGGCGTGACATGCTTCTCCCTTCCTGGAAGCAGACAAATGGGAAAGCCATGGAGAAATGATGCTGCTGATGTGCCTTCACGGTGCCTTAGCGTCTCTCCCACCTTGAGCGTCTGTGCGAGTCTTATCAGATCGTTTTCTCATCTGCCCCATCGCATAATTAGCTTACAAATTATTGCCACAACTCTAATGAAGTATGTTTGCATCTTTTCACTGGTGCAGCTCGAGGGCAGGATACAAGGATGTTTATTAACGCTGCAGAGAGAGGGAGAGCGAGAGAGATATGCGAGGTGTTCGCCTCCAGGGATGGGAAAGAGAGAAAAAAAAAGGCAAGTTTCTAATTAAAGGTCGTGTTATGTGTTAGACGTGATATCCTCCGACACTTCAGCAACCAATCTGAACATTTGGGAAACGAGGGCATTGCGCGCGTTCACGTGGAACGCCAGGCATCACTTCCAACCACAAATCCACTGTTAGTGAACTGAGAATCGCTCGACTTCCAGCATCACTGGACCTCCATGCTGGAATCATCTTCCAAATCTTTAAGAAAAATCTAGATGCAATTTCTCAGTGCACAAATGCTGAATTTTTAAAATGCAATTTCTCTGTTTACATCTGGCAAATTCTAATGTACTTTTTTTTAATATAGGGACCACATCAAATGGGAACCACATACTGTACAAATTTTTAAACCATCTTGACCAGCTGGTCTACTAGCTTGAACTGTAATGCACAAATTGCATTTGTCAATGCACAACCTTAAATTACTGTTTTACGGTCTCATCTCTGTTCTAGCTCTTTTCAGAGCAATTTTGAATCTTTGGATTGTGGCATTCTGTCAGTTATCTGCTCAATGAATGCACGCCAATGTAAAGGCTTGTTTTGATATGCATTTTACACTTTCTAGTGCTCAGAATAAATCTGTACTACTGTACGGGCAAGAGTGACTTTGATTTGAATCAAAGTGCATTCACACATGAACCCACTTTCCTCCTGAATTTCACTGGAAGATTGTCTACTGAAAAGACGTTAACTCTGTCCAAACCTAAAGGCTTGTTTATACAAGTCAGAACTTTACCTCACAATGCCCGGATCACGCAGGGCCACATGGAAACACGACTTAACCTATTCTAGTTGTCATAAGAAAGACTGCTTCATTGTGAACCTGGAGTTCAAAGGGATTTCAACGACAAGTTCTTCCATGCATTGGCTCATTTGCCTGCCTGTTATTTTAACCATACATGGTAAACAGAAGGCGGTTGTTACGGGCTCCGCTCAGCTCCAGCGCTGGAGGCCATGCACTGGAGGCGGACGGGAGAATTTTCCAGGGTGTTGCCACCAAGCCCTCAGCACTAATGTTCATTTAATACACAAGCAAGATGATACATTACAGATTCCACTGAAAGAAAAAAAAAGACTTAAGACGTTTTGGCATATGAAGCTATCCCTCATCTCCATATAGCTACGGGCGTTGTAACCAAAAGCCCAGATATTAATGCTGAGGGAATACAGTGGATCTGCCCCTTCTCTCTCTCTCTCTTTTTGTTAATAGGAGGGACCAGGTAGAAGAGTAAAGAAAAGTCAAGATGGTCAAGCTTCATATAAACATGAGGAAAATGACTCATGTTTATAAACTCAAAATACTCCAGATTATAAGAATGCAACATATAAATAATAATTACAGATTAGGTTTCCACACAAAAACCCTCCTGCGTCCTGAACCTAATGTTTGGAAAGCATTCTGTGTTTGCTGGGGAAATACATCTTAAAACTTGATGCTGCATTTCGGTAGATAGTCTAAGCTGCTTCCAAAACCATCTTGGGCTGCTGGTTACTAGCTTGAACTACCCTTAACTTTGAGACGGTTTTCATCCAATCCTCGGTTTCCCTGTCACCAAACACGTTTGTGTTCGACAGCTAATGGAGGAATCTGTAAAATGCCTTCTGGAAGACGTTCGTGGAAACGTTCGGAACACATTACAATGAAATCAACACACACTTTTCCATCTTTCGTTCATTCTCAGTTCAGTTTCAGGTCGGTGCCCTACGGGTTAAAACTTCAATTCAGATCGTTTCACAACATGGCGTCTCACTCCCAGCGATAAAGCTTCAGGAATGAGGCATATACCCTCCTAATAACACAGGTCCTCGATGCCTAGGGTGTTTAATAAGCTTACGGAATCAGAAAAGAATGTCACAGGACATGAAGCGTGAACGCGTTTCAGGACGCGTCGCTGCACTCATTCTCGGCAAACCACAAAAGCACCATCACATGAATCATCTACTCTACATTGAGGTGAGATTTAAGTGGAAATGGTACCGTTTCAAACATCGTAGGTGTCCGAATCGCGCTCCGAGTCCGGTTTGATCAATCGGCTCCCAGATGAAGGTTCGCGTCGCTCGCTCGCTCTCGGTCATGTTTCTATCCGATAAACGATCCAGCCTAGCTATTCTCTTCCTGTCCGGAGTGAAAAGCGCGTCAAGCTGCATTAAAACATGTCATAGGTGGCGTAGGGGTCTGGGCGACTATAGCGAGCTGCGCTGCTGCTTGTCTGGACGCGTTCAGAGCTCAAGCGCAAAAGCGCGCAGGACCGTCTTACCTTCTCCAGGACACCAGAGCTGTCCTTCCCCCTCTTGATCTTCTTATTTCTTAATACTCTGATTCGGTCGCGTATATCAGCCTCGCCACTGTCTTTTTTGGCCACGGTGAATCTGCTGCTTTGCTTATGGGCAGAAGGAAGCCAATAATCCGCCTCTAAATCAGAGCAGAGCCGAAAGAAGAATTCTGGCTCCAGGCTGCGCAAACGCCTCTGGGGCCACGGGATTAGAGGACAATTAACTCAAACCCGAGCAGACTCATTGGAACAGATGCAAACCCGATATCCCCCTCGATTATTTAGCCTCGCTTAGCTTTTTCGCAAAGTAAAAATAGCTGGCGAGGGTTTAAAGTTCAGCGTATAACGGTTTACGCATCAGTCAAGTGCCACCACGCCGTTCCTGAGACTTTGGAGAGGCAGAAAGGCTGATTTTAATCATTGTCATTTCGTCTGATGTAATACTCCCCCAGGCTCTTTCACAAAGGCAACACATTTTCCTTCCCTGAACGAGTAAAAGTCTCTCTTCGCTCTCGCTAAAGCGGGAGGCGCACTGGAACTTGTTGATAAAGTGGCGATAAAAGACGCGTATTCTTTTTACAAAGAGAAAATCTGGATCTGGTGCTCATGCATGTGGCGCTTTCCCCCTCGCTCCTCTCTGTGCTCTAATGTCTGTGAGCACTGTAATGGCAAATTTCCTGGAGGCCATTAAAAGCAAATGACGTCTGGACATCATTCACTGTGCGCCCTCAGCCAAATGCGCCATTTCAATTATTGCGCACGGCTAGATGGAGACGTCTGCTGCAGGATCTCTCGTGCAAACGGGGCACAACGTCGGTTTAAACCCACACAAACACAATCGTACACTTCTCGAGACGGATTTTAATTTATTTAACAGCAGGCAAACAAATAAAGACAGTTGTGTTGGGCATCAGCTGTGCCGGAGCGCGCCCCGCCGCTTTTCCCCGCGCAGGTACTCCATTATTTATTTATCTGAATGTTTGTTTATTTGCGTGTAAATAAGTGTGAATAATTGATGTTGCGCTGAGACCCGTAATTACTGTGGATCTCGCATGCAGGACTGATGCTGAACGACGCGTTCCGTGATGTTTGGCGCCCGTCAGTGTCCGTTCGGAGGAATGACAGATTTCAAAGGGTAGAATAGAACATAATGATTCATTTTATTACAGTAATAGAATGGAGGGATGATAAACAGAAAGATAGATCTACCTGACTTCCAATAAGGAAAATATATAGAATTAAATTCAGTAATGTAGAATGCTAGTCACATTTTTATTCAATTTCTGTATAATGTCTGTATCAGTTTCTATATAGACACAAACATTAACATCTCTCAAGTACAAAAATACTACAGCACTTTACATTTACGGAATTAGTTCATTGAACCTTTTGTGACAACATGCCCCAATAGTACCACATGTTGTTACATTATATGGGGTAAGTTGTCACAATTGGAACCCGTTGTCATCATAGGAGTTTCAGCATATTTTAAAGAGTAAAGCAATTATGAAACCCCAAAATGTATGATTTATGACACATCATATGTGAAAACAATTAAAAAATGCAGAATTCCTAATATATAATGCGAATGTAGTGCTGTTCTGCAGTGATCATGGCAATAAAGTTTCAGTCAATTTAGAACATTTAGAAAAACTTGAGTTCATTAAACACATAATGACCTTTTGTGACAACATGCCCCAACAGCAATAAGTTGTCACACTATATGGGGTAAGTTGTCACAATAGAACCTTCCATTATTGCAGGAGTTTCAGCAGATTTTAAAGAGTAACACAATTATGAAACAACAATGTATATGACACATTGAATGTAAAAAAAAAAAAGAAATATTAAAGCAAGCAACTAGCCCCGATTTCCTAATGCATTAATAATAATACATCATTTTGCAGTGCTGTTCTGCAGTGCTCATGGCAAAGAAGCTTCAGTCTCAATTTATTTACTACTGAACATTTACAAAATACTACTGAGGTCATTAAACACATGTTGACCTTTTGTGACAACATGCCCCAATAGCAATACATGTTGTCACACTAAATGGGGTAAGTTGTCACAATGTAAATTAAAATATGATTGTTATGCATGGAAAATACAGTTTCAGAGGCAATTTCTTTATTACTTTCGTTTTCATTAACATAACACACATTGACCTTTTGTGACAACATGCCCCAATAGCAACACATGTTGTTACACTATTTGGGGTAAGTTGTCACAATAGAACCTGTTGTTATCATATAAGTAGAACAATTATAAAAGTCAACATTTATGATTTATGACATATCAAATGTAAAAAAGTAGAAATATTAAAGCAAACAACTAGTTTCCTAATGTATTAATGTGCTGTTCTGCAGCCCTAATGGCAATAAAGTTGAATTGATTCGAATCGATAATCATCTGTTAACATATGAAATGCATAAAGCAAGAATATTTTTCAAAACAACTGCTTAACTGATTACAGAAGTAGGAAAGCTGAGCGATCCTGCAGGTATCAGACACATACAGAAGAAAAGCGTCCTGAGGCCAGAGAGTGTTTTCCTCAGGACTGAATGCGGTTTGTAGTTTCCCCTTCATTAATACAACAGCCCTGCAGTGCGTTCAATTACAGCCGTGTGCAGAAGATGTTGTAAGTTTAAAGATTTAAACAGCTTACAAAGTTGCCCCGGGTGTTTTAGTTGCCATCAGTTAATTCCTGTAATTTATGGGTTTTGCCGTGCTGTCTGTGAGAGGAGAAGCTGAAGCGGGTCAGATTCACTGTGCTGGTCCGTTTGACAGCTCAGAGTGATGTTCACAGAAAACTGATGATAATGATGAAGAAGAAGAGGATTTAATAGGCAAATAAAACAATGTTGGGTCCAGAGGTCTGAAAGTACATTGAAAATATATGATGTTTCTATTTAAACCTGGGAATACAAAGAATGTTTGAAGATTTTTGGAAGATTTAGAAAAGTTATGGTATAAAATGAATAAGAATAATTACATTTTTTAAATTATATTATCACTAATATTAATACATACATTTAATTTTTTTTCTAAATTAATTTGAAATAAGTTAGTGTATAATAGTCACTAATCAAATGTGAATAAACGAGTGTCATTTTCACCTAATAAATACGGAAATTATAAATAATAATATTGAAATAAATCATGTTTACATTCAGTGTTACTTTAGTATCATTGAGAAAATATTAGTTTTTATTAAGATTTTGAATTCATTTTTATTTTCTGTTTTCACTTAATTTTTAGTCATTTTTCATTTCATTTTTAAGTTGTAGTCATTTTGTTTTAGTGCATTTTGTGTCATTTTCAAAAAAAAAATTTTTTTTAAATATGTCTTTATCGTTTTTATTAATATTTTTTTCTGTTTTAGTTTCA